AGGATTTGGGGAATAAATATGGGATCATGGGAAATCCCATGGAAATGGGATTTTTGGGATGGGCGAATGTCCCCGGGGTGGAAAATCCGCTTTTCCCACCGATTTCTGGATTTAGTGCGGGGTTTATCCGCACCTGGGAAAGCTGGAAAAGCGGGATTGGCCCCAAAAAGAAAGAGAATTCCATGGAAAAGCGGGAAATGGGAATTTCCCTCAGCTCAGCCCGAATCTCTGCGGGTCCCAAAGAGGGAAGTCCCTGGAAAATCCCATTTTTCCCCAATTTTTTTCCCATTTTTGCCAGGCCGGGAAGGGAAAATCCAGCCCCAAAATCCAGGGAAATTCGGGTTTAACTCCAGCTCCGCTTTGGGGGGAAAAATTGGGATTTTCCCCCCTGGAATTCCTAAAGAAACCCCAAAAACCGGGAAGGGAAGGGTGGAATTCCCGAGTCGCGAGCGAGTCGCGATAGGAGGAGCCCAGAGGAGGCGATTTGGATCCAATTTTCCTTGGGAAAAGAGGAGAAAAAAGGGAATTTCTGGAATCCTCGCCGTCGCTGGGCCCCGCCCGCAGCGCGGCCGCGATTTTTCGGGATGGAATTCCCAAATATCCATAAAAAAAGAGGGATTTTCCCCCGCTTTGAGGCGGAGCGGCCAAAAAAAGCCGGGAAGCGGCGGCGCTGGAGGCGCCTCGGGAAAAATTCCTTGGCAAAGCCTCTGGGAGCTCCCAAAAATAATCAAAAATCCTCTTTTTTCCCTTTTCCCCCCTCTTTTTCTTTTGTCCTTTCCAGGCCAAGTTTTTGTGGAATCGGGAAAATGGGAGCCGCACTCACCTCGGGCTGGAAGGAGAAAAATTCCCGGTCCTGGGGGGGGTCGATCCTTAAAAAAAATTGGATTTTTTGGGGAAAAAATAAATGGGGAAAAGTCGGATAGGGAGGGGGAAAAAAGAAGGGGGGAAAATGGGGCAAATAAAGGGAAAAATGGGAAAAATGAAAGGGAAAATAAAGGGGGAAATAGGAGAAAAGAAAGAAGAGAAATATAAAAGAGAAAATAAAATGGGAAAAGGGAGAGAAAAATAGAAAAGAGAAAGAAAAAATCGGGAGAGGGAAAGGGAAAAATGGGAAAAGGAGGGAAATGATGGGAAAAAGGAGAATTTAGAGATGAAAGGAAAAAAGGGGGAAATGGAAATAAACGGGAGAAGGAAAAACAGGAGAGAGAAAGGGAAAACGAGGGGAAAGAAAGGGAAAATGGGAAAAATCAACGGGGGGAAAATGGGAAAAAGAGAAAGGGAAAAATAGGGGGGAAAAGGGAAAAAATCGGGGAAAGAAGAGAAAGAAAAAAGGGGAGAAGGGAGAAATTGGGGGGAAAAAGTGTAAAAAAGGGAAAAATGGGAAATGAGGAGAAAATTCCCGAAGGACAAAGGGAACAAAGGGAGATCGGGAAGAGCCCAAAGCGGGAAGGAAAATCCCGGGAAGGGCCGGGAACAAAGGGCAGGAAAATCGGGAATTCCCCCGGGACCCCCGTCAAGGTCAAGGGGAACAGCCCGTGACGTCACCGCCCGTGACGTCATCATCCGTGACGTCACCCGGCGCCCAGCCCCGAAAATCCCGAATTGGTCCCGTTTGGGATCGGGAGCGGCTCGGGGCAGAATTCGGATTAAATTCCATTTTCCTGCCCGTGTTTAATTCATTTTCATTCATTTTCATTCATTTAATTCCATTTAAATTCATTTAAATTCATTTTCATTCCATTTCAATTAAATTTAATTCATTTTAATTCATCCCAGTTCATTTCAATTCCATTTTGATTCATTTAAATTCGTTTTAATTCATTTCAATTAACTTTAATTCATCTTAATTCCATTTTAATTCCATCTTAATTCTATTTTCATTTCATTTTAATTCCATTTTAATTCCGTTTTAATTCCATTTTAATTCATTTCCCCCGCTCTTCTCTTCAGCGGGGAAAAATTCCATTTTTGCCTTTTCTTTTCCCCCTGGATTTCACTTTCCCAGCGCTCAGCTCGGCCCGGATCGAGATTTTTATTCCCGGAATTCCACGGGGTTTCCAAATTTTCCCACCAAAATCCCAAAAATCCCAAAAATCCCAACCCGGGGTGGAACCAGGGAAGGAATTCCTTGGATTTCCTCCTTTTTTTGGGTTTTTATCCCGGATTTTGAAATCCTCGGGAATGAAGGAGCCGCCAGGATGAGGAAAAAGGAGGCGCAGGTGGAAAAATCGCCCTGGAATCGCCAAAAATGAACCCAAAATGACAAAAAATGGACCCAAAATAACAAAAAGTGACCCCAAAACCGACCCCAAAAAACTTAAACCAGAAGTGATAAAAAATTAATCCAAATTGCTCAAAAATCGAATCAGAATCGACCAAAAATCAAGCCAAAAGTGACAAAAATGAGCCCCAAATGTCCCAAATTCCCCAATTTCCCTCCCGATTTCCCGGGAAAATCCGAGTTCCGCCCCCAGGGACGAAAATCGGAAGATTTTTCCCCATTCCCAAATCCCTTTATTTTCTCTTTCCAATCCGAATCCCGAATTTTCCCGCCCGGGGGGAATCTGGGAATGTTTTCCCGAGGAATTCCGCCTCCCATCCCGATAAATTCGGATTTTTCCCGCCCGAGCAGCTCCGGGAATGAATCAAAACCTGGAAAATTCGGGATCCAAATCGCTGAAATTCCCCCAAAAAAATCCGGGAGAAGCCTCGGGATCAACGTCTGGGATTTTCCCGCTGGGAGAATTCCCAAAAAACCCAAAATTTTCATTTTCCCACCAAAAACTGGGGAGAGGGGCGGGTCCGGCGGAATTCCCGGGGTTCGGGGATCCCAAATCCACCGGGAGCGACCTCGGGGAGGGAACGGGATTTGGGATCCCGGGAAAAATTCTGGGAGGGAAAAACCCCCAAAAGCTAAACCCCCATTTTGGGGTTAAATTTGGGATTTTAGGGTTTAATTTAGAATTATTTGGGTTTATTTTTGGAATTATTGGGGTTTATTTTGGGGATTTCGGGGTTTATTTTGGGATTTCTGGGGATTTTTTTGAATTTTCGGGGGTTTTTTTTGGGATTCATTTGGGATTTTCGGGTTCGTTTTGGGATTTTTATCCCTTTTTTCCTGGGAATTTTGAGGATTTTCAATATTTCCATCCTCTCTTTATGGAAATTACTCAATTTCTCTCCTTTTCCTACAAATTTCTCCATTCATCCCAAATATTTCCAAACATTCCTATAAAGCACAGCCGGGAATTCCCATTTAGGGCGGGATTTAAGGGGAAAAGCCCAAAAATGAGGTCCCAGAGCGCCCCAAAATCCGAATTTCTGGAATTGCGCCCTTCCCACGGCCCCAAATCCCCGAAAAATCCGGGGAAAAATGAGAAATCGGCTCGGAAATCCTAAAAAAATCCCGAATATTGGGGGGACACTGAAATGGATGTGGAATAAATATTAAATGCATAAAAAATCTCTATTAAATCTCTATTAAACCTGTATTAAATCTGCATTAAATCTGTATTAAATTGGATATTTTGCCGCCCTCACGAGCGTTTTTCAGCCTCAAAAATTCCCATTTTTCCCCCATTCCCATCCCGCCTCTCCCCTCGGTTTTTGCCGCACTCCCGGCAAATTGAAACCTTCAAAAATCGGGATTTTAAAGCCCTTTTTGGCCCCTTTTTCCCCTCCCCTCGGGCGGGTTTAAGGAGGGAAAAAACAAAGAGAGAGAGAGAGAAAAAAAATGAAATAAAATTTAAATGAAGAATGAAATGAAATAAAAATATATTAAATGTATAATATAAAAATATATTAAATAAAAACATATTAAATAAAAGTCTATGAGATGAAAACGCGGTTAAATACAAATATATTGAACTGAGATAGATTAATTGAATTAAATTCAGTGAAAAGACCTTAACCAGGAAGAGATTCAGTAAAAAAAAACTCTAATAAAAAGAGACGATTAAATAAAAATAGACCGAATAAAAATTAAATAAATAAAATCCATTCCAATTTTTAAAAAAATAAATAAGAATTAAACGCAACAAAAATCCAATTTTAACCCTCTCGCTTCGCCCCCCTCGCGATTCTTTTCTCCCTTTCCCATCCTCCAATTTTCCCGTTTTTTCCCCCCAATTTTCCTGCATTTTCCTCCCTTTTTTTTTTCCTACTTTTCCCTGAAAAAGAAGAGTTTCGGGTTTGTTTTTGTTTTTGTTTTGTCCTCCAGGCAAAACAAGGACGGGGAAAAAAAAGCGATTTATTTCTAAGGAATGGTACAAGGCGGACACCACGAGCTCGGACATCGACAGGACAACCCCAAGAAATTCCAAATTCAAATTAAAACCCCCCCAAAAAACCAAAAAAAAACCAACAAAAATTCGCTTTCACAGCTCCAGGAACGGCCCGAGAACCCCGAAACCCCAAAATCCGGGCGGGAATTTCCGCTTTTCCCGCAAAGCCGAGCAAAACCCGCGGGAGAAAATTCCCTCAAATTCCCCCGAATTCCCCAAAATTCCCGGGAGCGGCTCCGATCCCGCCCCGCGCCCCCAGCCCGGCCTCGGGCAGGGAATTCTGCCCCCCATTCCCGATTTTTCCATCCTCAAGAAAACCGGGAAAACGCGCAGCCAGCCCTGCCCGGGATGGTTTTTTTTGGGAATTTTGTTTTTCCAGGCGTTTTCGCCACGCCGGGAATGCCCGAGCTCAGGATACCGGGAAAAATGGGGGGAAAACCCGGGAATTCCGCCGCGCTCTCAGCTCCACATCCCAAATTCCCCTCCGCAAAATCCCAAAATCCCGGATTTGGGGTGGGGGGGGGAGGAATTTCCCAACGGGGAAAACCCAAACCCGGATTTCAGAGATTCTGGGGGCTCGGATTTCTTAAATTCTTTCAACACAAAACCAAAAAATTTAAACTTTTTTTCCACGATAATTCTCTTTAAATACCCCAAACCCAGCAGCATCCCGGCGGATAAAAACCCCCCCAAAAAAAACAAAAAAAAACCCCCAAAATCACAAAAATTTCAGCTCCTCCGCCTTCCCTCTTTCTGCGGTTATTCTGAATTATTTTTTTTTCCGTTCCGGGGGGTTTTGGCGGCCGCGGGGTCCCCTCAGGTGGGGTGGAGGTGTCCGGGCTTGGCTTTGCTGACCACTTTCTTCTCCTTGACGCGGCGGTTCTGGAACCAGATGGTGACCTGGCGCTCGGACAGGTTGGTGCTGGCCGAGATGCGGCGCCGCTTCTCTTTGGTGATGAATTTGCTGCTGGCGTATTCCTTCTCCAGCTCCTTCAGCTGCAGCTTCGAGTACGGGACGCGCTTCTTGCGGCCCCGGCGGAGCGCGCCGGCCTCGGGCTGCAGCGGCACCACGTCTGCGGCGGGGGAAACGGGTCAGAAACGGGGGGAAACGGGAAAAAATGGGGAATTCTAGAGAAAAAATGGGGAATTCTAGAGAAAAAATGGGAATAAATGGGGAATTCGGGGTGGGGAATGCGCTTCTTGTGGCCCCGGCGGAGCGCGCCGGCCTCGGGCTGCAGCGGCACCACGTCTGCGGCGGGGGAAACGGGTCAGAAACGGGGGGAAACGGGAAAAAATGGGGAATTCTAGCGAAAAAATGGGGAATTATAGAGAAAAAATGGGAATAAATGGGGAATTCGGGGTGGGGAATGCGCTTCTTGCGGCCCCGGCGGAGCGCGCCGGCCTCGGGCTGCAGCGGGACCGCGTCTGCGGCGGGGGAAATGGGTCAGAAACGGGGCGAAACGGGAAAAAATGGGGAATTCTAGAGAAAAAATGGGGAATTATAGCACAAAAATGGGGAATTATAGCACAAAAATGGGAATAAATGGGGA